CTTCAGCCAACTCTTCTCATCCTTCTGCCGTTTTGGCTATTGATTTCAGGCATTTTCAGAACAATGCATTACAAATTTCGCATCCACACATGCATTTTCTTCAGGAAATGCAATTTTTCTAGTTATTATTCTGGTTTCTTCCGTCTGTTTTTTGGCACTTAATTTTTTTCAGCATACTTTCAGTTATGAAAACCGTTCAGGTATCAAAATGTTCAGCTCTTCAAGAACATTCATGCGTCTCAAGAATTTTTCTAAACTTCATACTTTTATAATATTTAGCTTTATTCTGAAGATCGTGCCCCATTCAAACGCATGGGGAAATTTTACACTCAGCATACTTTCAACTATTTCAGGTATCAAATGTTCAGCTCTTCAATGACATTCATGCTTCAACTCAGAATTTTTATACCCTTCACTCTTCTGAAATATTTAGCTTTACTTTGAAAATTTTCCCCATTAAAATTAATAAGAAAATTGTACTTCAGCATACTTTCAGGTAGATGTGCCTTTCAGGTGTGAAAAAATGTTCAGCATTTTCAGTGCAATCCTTCAGCACATAGCATCCACACGCATTTTCAACAGGAAATGCATTTCTCTAGTTTTCTGTTGGGTTTATAAAAACTAAATGCATTTTGGTCCAGTTTTTGTCAATTTTCAGCCGTGCTCATATACCGTGGCTACATCTTTGTCCTAGTTGTGTACAGTCACCATGGTTACACGTGTTGTTCCCGTCTGTCGTGAAGTTTGTGGGAAACAGTGTTTTATTTCCACAGTGTCACTCTGCTCTGTAGAAGTCAGACTCCATCACACCTGGACTAAAACGCTTTCACTGGGTTCAGAGGAGACTCTAAATCATCAGATAACATTAAAACAGTGACTCTCTGCATGTAGAGATGACTTATGGCCGACTGTCCTTATTAATCCTGGAGCTGACTGGCAGAAACACGAGAGATCTCTGACTGAGAGGAGCGTTAACCTTACATCTCTGTTCACAGCGGTTCACGGTACGTTATCCTGCTGCTGCAGTTTCCTAGCGTGTCCCACTGGTTTGTGAGAGAAAATTACATAGCCCAACATTGTTTTAACAAAGTTACACACTGACTCAACATTAATTTTAGTGACCTGCGACTGGCGAAGTTGGGAGTCATTAGCGCCAACATGAATAACAGCCTTACCTTATTTATCCTTAGTCAGCAGCTTCAAATAGGATTCAGTGTCGTCCGCTCTGGCCCCAAGAAAACATCTGACTATGGCCGCCAGCGTCTTTGGCTTCACGTCTCTGACTATGGAGTCTCCAATTACTAGAGTTGTTTTCTCAGCGGGTGTGTCGCTGAGTGGGGAAGATAGATTTGAAACTTGAACAGGCAGATGATGCTCTGTGGGCGTTTGTTTCGAGCTGCAACTTTTGCGAACTGTCACCCAATCACCTGGGTGAGATCCCGGCTGCTGGCGAAGCTCTGGGGCGGCTAGCTTGGGCTAAGTTAAGTCTAGGAGGCTCCGCACCGGCTACATGGGCCTGGCTAGCTGGGCTGTTCTCCATGGTGCGGAGGCAGAGGAATTCAGTTGCTGAACATGCGACACTCTGAGCAAGAGGAAGAAGGAGAGGAACAGGGGGAAGTCATTGCTCTCAACTAAGCTACTAGCTTAGCTAGTTTCTAAGCTAACTGACCTAAAGTAGCAAGTTAAATTTGGTAATTTAGCAAGAACTTCTGTAACATAGGTGCTTAAGTGGTGCAGGCGTATGCTGACTCAAAAAATTAGCTGATGATCAGATAAACCAAAGTAAGAATTTCATTGTACAGGGAAACACGTTTCCTCACTGAGCATATGAGAATAAACCCTTGACCTAGACCAGTGAGCTTAATCCATAAACAATCTGGTAACAGGCACAGTAAACAGGAAGTGAATGCGCTTATCACAGGAACTCATCCAACCAGGGTGAACAACAAAAAAACACCCTGAAGAAAGACTGCCATGAGTTCAGTTTTTAGGAAGATGGCAGAGTGTGTTTAATGCTTCCTGTGTTGTCCAGGTTCCTGCTGGTGTTCTCGTGCCTAGTTTTGTCGGTCTTCTCCACCATCAGAGAATATGAGAAGAGCTCAGAAGATGCTCTCTACATCCTGGTAAATTTTTAAACCTTTCACAAACATCTCACTCCCAAGAGCACTGATCTGAGCTCAGACATCAACTGAACAAAATCAACAGAATTCAGTTGCTGTGGTTTGATGACCTTTTAAACTTCTCACTTCAAATCAAATGTGAGTCCAGTTCAACACATTTCCTCTGTGGTTTGATTTAGCAGCTGACTATAAAGCTGCAACAATTAGTCATTTAATTGAAGAGGTCATTATGGGAAAATCACTTAAGTCATTTTAATGAATGAGCGATTATTTTAGCAGGTCTTAATTAACTTTTATTTTCTGGTTCCAGAATTTCAAATGTAAAGATTTCTTGTTTTTCTCTGTTTGCTATCACAGTGAACCTCATTAGGTTTTGAACTGCAACATTTAAAGATGTCACACTAGGGTGCTCAAAATTGATAACTCATAATTTTAGACTAAAAGTGGTTTATTGGTTTGAGAGAATTGGCAAATTTATTGATAATGAAAATTGTTAGTTGCAGCTTGGGTTGGTTGTTTAAAGCATTGTTGTTATGCACTTTGTGTCATGTTGTTTTGATGTTACTGTGTAACAGGAGGTGGTCACCATTGTGGTGTTTGGGGTCGAGTACATGGTGAGGATCTGGGCTGCTGGTTGTTGCTGTCGGTACAGAGGATGGAGAGGACGACTCAAATTTGCCAGAAAACCATTCTGTGTCATTGGTGAGTCAGACTTTAGCAACACCTACACTCAGACAGGTGACACTGACATCAGATATGGGTTCCACCTCGAGCCTATTGATGTGTGTGGTGGTGTGTTTACAGCCTCTTGAATTCCAGAAGTCTATTCAGTTTTATTTGTATAGCAGCAAATCACAACAACAGTTGTCTCAGGACACTTTATACAGTCAGGTCTAGACCTTACACTGTTGTAGAAAAACCCAACAAATCCCCCCTGAGCAGCACTTGGTGACAGTGGGGAGGAAAAACTCCCTTTAACAGAAGAAACCTCCGACAGACCCCGGCCCTTGTTGGGCGGCCTTCTGCCTCGACTGGTTGGGGTGAGTGGATAGAGGAGAGACAAAAGAAGAAAAGCAACAATAAACAATCAAACACTGGTCAGGTTGATGTGGCCGGTGACTGCTCATCAGAAATGTAGAGCTCCAGCGCCAGGGCAACCTGCAGAAAGTCCACTTCAGCTAGGAAGGAGTAGATTTATGTAGAGTTTGGACCAGACCAAGCAGAAGGAGGTAGTCGGTGTAGTGGCAGGAGAGGCGGAGGATTGATCAATCAGCTGCAGAAGTCTCATGACGGGCAGGAGGGGGGAGCTGCAGTCTGGATAGACTGGCCACATATTCTCAGTCTAAGTGGTTATTGTGTCATCTGAAAACAACCTAATAAAGTGGTGTAAAACCAGTCCGACAGATGAAACTGATAGCAGCGTTGAGTCTGCCTCCAAATCTCTGCCACCAGGCTCTCGCCCAGCTGTCGCTGCATAGAGTCGATGTTTTCCCAGCTGTGGGCTGTGGCCTCACTGGGCTCCTCCAGTCCTCGTCTCACACAGTGGGGTGGGCTGAGTGGCAGGACTTGGGTTCTGTTGACAATGAATGGGGAGCTGGCCCTAAACCATGTATGTGCTTGTAGTACTCAGCAGTGCAGTGGCGTACTTTGGCCACAAGGGGCTCACATTCAGTCAACAGCCTTCCCAGCAATCAATAGTGAAGAATCATTTAAAATATTCCTGTATCCAAATTATGGCACGGCTCAGCACCAAAATCTAATCAGTAGTTCTGTGGGCTGTACCCCACCTCTACAACACATTTCATCCAGATCCATTCATTACTTAGTTATGCCATTAACAAACAAACCAACAAATGGCAGCAAAATCATAACCTCCACCCTTGGCGGAGGTAATCAGAATGCAAATCAGAATCACATGTATTGGCCACACATTAAACACACAAGGAATTTGTCTCTGGTACAGAGACTGCCAATGTGTGCTTGTAGATCAGCGAGTGTTCCTGCCTGCCTGTACAGGATCCTGTCTTTCTTCCTGTAGGCCTCACAGCATATGAGCACAGTGGTGAGAATTTCTACTCCTGGCTTATGGAGCTGTTTACCTGCTCTGCTCATTATCACTCAGTGCTCAGCTGAGATTGCTTCCTGCTCCGCTCAAATCATACCCACTTGCTCCAAAAAAGGGGGTTAATTGAATAAAAATATACAGTACACCTATGTGACCTCTTGGTTTCCTTTGTAAAGTACCTTAGGAACTCCTTTATTGAGCTCACGGCGGTTGATTTTTGTCTGAAAAATGTTGGATGACTGTGCAAGACACAGGTGCGTTCTGGGTAGGACTTGGGCACGTTTCAGGCTAGTGGTGTGAGTGGTACCAGAGCAGCATTGGACTGGGACATAGGGCTACACTCCCTCTTTAAAAATTCGCTTTTTCCAAAATCTGCTTGCTCGCACTCTGCTCCACTCTGCTCCACTGGTAGGCCTCCTCTTCGCCACGACAAAGCTGCTTGAGTTTTGCTGTGAACTGGGGCTTCTTGTTGTTGTATGTGCAGAAGGTCTTGGTGGGCACGCACGTCTTCACAAAGCTGATGTATGACATCACAGTGCCAATGAGTTCATTCTGGTCTGTAGATGCAGCCTCAGATACAATTTAGTCTGTGCTGTCAGAGCAGGCCTGTGAGGTGTGCAGGTCCTCCATTGAGGGCAGGCTAGCACTGATGATTTTGGGAGCAGGAGAAAAAGAATTTGGAGTAAGTTGTAATGTATTCATCTGAGGGTTGCCATCCATGGCAGCATCTTGTTTGTTTTGAGAGAAAAAAATTAAAGACAAAGTGACAGAGAAATCTCTGGTGTTTGTTTCAGGTCAATAAGTTTAAAACTTTTGTCATTGCAACATGTACAATAGAATGTAAATGCCATCCTAACAGTGCATCACCCATCCAATTACATAAACCCCATTTAGCTATCAATAAATAAAGTAAAACAAGCTGAAACCCACACAGACATATACACATACAATTTTACAATAACTCCTCAGTGCATAATGAGCATGTATTTCTTACTCTGTTGCCTATGCAGCATTTAATGCCATTGTTGCAATAATAATCAGAGTGTGATCTGTGAGGGATGAACTAAAGAGGTAATGTGGTGGTGTGCTGCTTGTCCCTTAGGGCAGAGACACACCAAGCCGCTGTGCGGGGCTTATGTTATTATGAGAAAATACAGTAGCCTATGTTGTAGTAATGAGAAAAATTACATTTTAATGTGAACATATCTCATAAAAACAAGAAAAATATCTTGTTATAATGAGAATGGCTTCTCGGCTGATTTGACATTGAAACGGCATCGGCCTGTTGGGCGTTGTCAGTGAGAGAGAGGCCGCTCTGATTGGCTGGTGAGCTTAGCAAATCACTACACGAGAGGAGAATGGTTTGGCAAAGCCCCTTCAACTTTTCACCTCCATGACCTCCTTTTCTTCTTTCACAGCCAAAAGAGCAAGAGCAGGGGATGGCAGTATTTAGTATTATATTAATATAGTAATTTACAACTTATCAGACTTATTCTTCTTTAGAAGCAGCTGTTTACAGCATCTGTGTGGAACAACAGCTGCTTTGTTTACAACTTATACTTTGGCATTCTAGCTCTTCTAGATGAATACAGATGCTACCACCTGCTGGTAGGGGTTGTTTGTGTCGCACCGGCAAAGAACGTACATGCTAGTTGGCTGTCGTCTGTGCAGTGTGTTGAAGTGTCACTTTTACAACCGGACTGGCCCAGACAAATCCGACATGAGGCGATGCAGAGGTCGGCCTTCAACACTGCTAATTCTTTCATGTCAGCTTGGTGTGGTTCTGCCCTTAGGCTGTGACATGCATAGACACAGAATACATCTCAAGTCCCATATACACTGTAAGCACTGGCGTTACCTTCCCCTGCATCTTTTCATTGCGTCTTAGTCCTGTCCACATACGATGTAAGGAGAAAGGACTAGAGAAAATACATTAACAACATGAGACATGTCAGAGAAGTCACTGCTTCTGATTGCAGGGTAGCACTTAGCTAGCTGGATAAGTGGTCACCGCAGACAGGAGCATTATTAGCCAAGTCCGCCCCTCCCGGCCCTAGATGACGGCTTGCAAGGTATTTTCAGTGGAAGTTACCATCACTGTGGTTACCTCAACAAAAGGCCAATTGGATTTTTACAAAGAAAAGTTTATGACACTTGAAAAAACACATCCCTAAGGCACTCTATAGGCACAGGAAGGGGTTTGCTGAGGGTGCCGCAACACCCCCTAGTGGTGGTAGCATCTTATACTCAGCAATAAAAATTTCCATCCATCCATCTTTGTCCGCTTTATCCAAGACTGGGTCGCGGGGGCAGTAGTCCGAGCAGAGCCTCCCAGACTTCCCTCTCCCCAAACACCACATCTAGCTCCTCAGGAGGAACCCCAAGGCGTTCCCAGGCCAGCCAGGAGCCATAGTCTCTCCAACGTGTCCTGGGTCTGCCCCGAGGCCTTCTACCGAAGGGACATGCCCGGAATGCCTCCCCAGGGAGGCGTCCAGGGGGCATCCTAAACAGGTGCCCGAGCCACCTCAAAATAGTTTAACCTTTTGTTTTTTTTATTATTATTTAAAATTATTTGCTGAGGAGCTGAACTCCTCCATAGAGAAGCTGTCAGTCCACACAAGCAACCATGGTAAGCAACAGCAAGCAATGTCGAATTTTCTTTTTCCAAGTAATATTACCGTTTTAAAGGACAGGAAGGGTATCCGGCGTAAAGAATGTGCCAAATTTACTCATGTGAATCGAATTTGCTGTGGTGACCCCTAACAGGAACTGCCGAAAGTAGAGTAGTAGTAGTTATCATTTTAAAGAAGACTAAAATGAATTCTAGCAGTCCTAACATTACTGAGAACAGATGAAAACAACATTGATAATGCAAAAGTAGCCTTTTTACAGCTAACTTAACACTAACGTTGGCACCACAGTGGGAATCAATAGGCTGCTGCCTCTGCCTGTGTTGCTACTAACGGGCCCATGAAAGCCGGGCATGAGGAGCCCTTTCAAGCCCTCAGAAGTAAATCACCAAAGTATCTTTTCATGCTGTGAGTTACTGATGTGCTAATAATTAATAATAAAGTTTGTCTGGTTCTGATGAGCAAAGTGTCACACTAGTATAAATATGGAATTTAAACATGCACCACTAATACCAATACAGGTGATGCATGTTTAAATTCCATCAGTATGAAAGAAAGTCACTTTTGGCTTTTCCCGATTAGGGGTCGCCAAAGCGAATTTTCACACTGACAACTCGCATGTTGATATTTGGCACATGTTTTATGCTGGATGCTCTTCCTGACGCAAGCCTGACTCGAACCTGGGCCGCAGGAGCAAGAGCGCTGCGCCTTAACCACTAGCCTACCAGGGATGGCTAAATTCCATCACTATACATCCATCCATCCATTTTCCCTTGCTTATCCGGAACCGGGTCATGGGGGCAGCAGTCTAAGCAAAGATGCCCAGACTTCCCTCTCCCTAGACTCTTCCTCCAGCTCCTCGGGGGGGATGCCGAGGCGTTCCCAGGCCAGCCGAGAGACATAGTCCCTCCAGCGTGTCCTGGGTCTTCCCCGGGCCTCCTCCCGGTGGGACATGCCCAGAACACCTCCCTAGGAAGGCGCCCAGGAGGCATCTGAAACAGATGCCC